AATATCAGGCCAGGTGTACAACTCCTATTCTTTTTTCTTTCTTTTTTTTATAACTGTTTCAGTACAAGGATGGATAGATAACCATATACTGGAAATACATACTTGCTTAAACAGATTATAGACAGACGATACAGAAATCAAGTTAGGCAGGAATACACAGCCCTGTAGTTCTGGCTTGGCCTTAACCCAGTCCTTCAAAGATACCAAAATTGACATTTTACTGTAATATATAGGAATTATTACACATTAATAATTACTCATCATTACCTAAAGTACAGGTTCAAGCAGAAGCTGACATACTACTCTCATTTTTCCATACTGTTTGCAGAATGAGAGCCAGTGTCTGCCTCACTGGTAATGTACCTAATCCTTCCCGTACCTTCTCCCCCTCTTTTACTCTCAACCCTCTCCACCCTCTCCACTGGTCTGTATTTTCTTTGCATGTTTCCATCCAGACACTGTGCTGTGCAACCCTTCTCTGGGGGGAGATGAGGCTAACCTATCACTAACACCCAGACACAGATGAAAACCCTTCCACAAATCCCTCGCTCTTACCCTCCCATCAGGCCTTAATCTCACTCTTCCTCCCTTTTCACTCGCTTGCCCAAGTCCACCAATTGCTCCCTCATTCTTGACCTTCATTCTCTTTCAAACCTTTCATTATAGCATCATTCATTTATCATCTCTGAAAACACCTACTTCTCTCCCAACTTGCTGGGCCTTTTTAGCACAAGCCATTAATAATCTCTCTGGCAGGAGCCTCTTAGCATGGCAGCAAAAATCCCAAATGGGTTTCAATGCAGCAGCATGTATTTAGGAGGGATTACCTTATTGCAATGCATCCAAAGTGCAAATATTCTGTACAAGCAATTTAAACTATAGGCTCCCTATCTATCTGGATCCCATAGTACGGAACATACTAAAACACTGCAGCCAGGGCAAAATAAAACCCTCTTAAATCTAAATAATCAGCTGCCTAATACATATGAGGTAACAGACTACTTGTCTCAATGGACGCAAGCCTATTAAAACCTGACAGTAAAGAGAACATAACAAACTGGACTTCTGTGTTGCAGCAATGACCTTTATATAAGCCACACTGATTTGCTTTTCCAACATTGTTTTATCATGGTAATACTGTGTCAGAGATAACACAGGTTGTTTTATTTGGCACATTTGGAGCTTTCAGAACGAAGGGCAGTGCATGTACCGGGATTATCTGAAATTAGGAAGCCATTAAATATGAACATTCTGACAGTGTGCGTCATTCTACTTGTGATATAAGAAGAATGTCCCTGTAGGTGTAAAATATTGTTCTGTGGTAATTACATTTACAATATCCTACAGCTTAGAGTTGAAGGTTGAAAGGTTTTTGAAGCTCCATACTGATTTGGATAGTTTGAATTGTAGCTTTTAATTTTACTCGTATTTGACTAATGTATTTAAATTCTATGGCAGAGAAGTAATCAGATTACCTTAAGTAAAAGTATCAATACCAGAGTGCAAAGTAAAAGTCCTGCATTCAAAACGTTACAGCGGTATCATCAGTAAGAATGTGCATGTAAGCAGCATTTTATTGTTGAAGTAGTTGTGGTGGAGCTAATTTGAACTACTTTATATACTATTTGGCACTTTAAAATAAATAATTTATATTAAAGGCTGATCATTTGTATTAAGATAATAAAATAAAATGCTGTAGTACTTGTGCTTAATTATGCACTTAACTAGTAACTGAGTTAATAATAACTAATTTTTACCATTTTCATGACAGAAATTAAAATTTGCAAGTATTTATTATTCTTGCTCCATTGTCTCACCATTCATATTGTCAGAGACTGATCCAGTCACAGAGGAGGGGGAGTTGGTGGCACGGGACTGCGGCGCAGAGGACACAGGATCATCCACGATGACCAGCATGTCGCTGCTGCTCTCGTCCGCGTCAGCATCCGGGGGTAAAGAGCCAGGCTGGAGCTCGCTGCTCAGGGAGATCTGGCCGTGCACAGGAGCAGACACAGACATACACACAGGCTGGGGGTCAGCACCACAGGGATCAAGGGAACCGGGCCGGTACAGCAAAGGGAAACAATAGAAAAACAATTCCGAGGAACGAAGAGGAGAGGGAAGGGAGCAAAGAAGGACAGGAGGCACAGGATGTATGGAATAGGATAGATAAGTAGAAGTAAAAAAAATAAGGGAAGTAAAGAATTGATTGAGGAATTGTGATAGGATAGAACAAGATTGAATGAAAGAAGAAAGTAATGTGGAAAGAGAGGAATCAATAAACAAAACAGGAGTAAATATTAAGAGGATACAGTTTGTGGATATATACCAAAGTGACCTAATGGAAAAGCCACTACCATCCACTGCAACATATATCACAGTCATGTACATGACTTAGCTCAAGAAATACAGGCATATCTATTGACAATATGAAATTTAGTATTCAATTATATGCTGATGACATTGTGTTGGTTGCCGAAAAAAGAGATTAATTTAAAAAAAAAAAAAGGCTGAATATTATGAGTTTATGGTGTAGTAAATGGAGACTTGCTATTAACAGTGAAAAAGCTAAAATTATACTTTATAAAGCATTGTGAACGAAAGTGTAACCATATCTTTCATAAAAATGTGAGCTTTTAGAGTCAGGGGAAGAGTGTTAGGATCTGTATTGAATAAAATTAAATTGTGTCCTAACCTTGGTTTTTCAACACATTCAAAACTTTGGTTCATGGTCGGTTCAATTATATTTTGTGCTGTAGGAGTATAGGGTTTTAAGGTTCCCGCTGACAGTATGCTATCAAGAGTCAACTCAATAGATGCCTTCCTCGGGTGCATAAGCATACTGCTAAGTAGGTTCTTGAAGGAGACATAAGATGGAATTCAGAGATTTGGAATATGCCAAAGCTCAGAAATTATGTTAAAATCAAAGCTGATCTCTACATAGAACCATAAATAACATTTTATTTACAGAGAGGGCAGCATGTGCTCAGTTAAGAACTGGTCCTGATTTTAACGGTAGTCCTGGAGAGCAGTGTTTATGTGTTTTCTGTGATCTTTTTGAGAATGAATTTCATTTTGTATTGCATTGCCCCATACACAGTGCAGTGACTTGAGTAATCATCTGTTTAAAGAAATCAAGTTGAAGAACCCTGATTTGTTTTAGTTGTCTGAAGGTGATATGTTGAGTTGGCTCTTTGCTGAGGAAATTTTTGTCTTAGCAAGATTTCTAGAAAATGCATGGGACCTAAGACAGAGAACATTGTATCCGAAAAAAGAAAACATTTCTGTCATGGAACCTAAATGTTTTGAATTGTGGTCTTTTTGAAATTATGGAACTGTATATTATGATTTGCAATGTGGCTATCCTGGTTATTGTCTTGTAAACCCATATGGGCTGAGCACCATATGGAACAGGACACTTAAGTACGTAAGTAAGTAAGTAATCAATCATCTATATATAGTATTCCCCTCCTCCACTTCCTTCTCTTTTGATATAAGGACAGTCACTCCACTCTGTTTTTACCCAGAATTCCCTCACCTCACTAAAAGGACTGGGCATGGCCGAGTCCATCTCTACACTGATGAAGGAGTCGTCTCCATCTGCAGAGAGGTTGGAGTTGTCGGCTGAAGGCGCATGAGAGATGACCAGGTTCACCTCCTTTTTCCTCTTGTTCTCCGACTCCTCGTTCTTCTTCTTCAGATTAAAAACAGAAAAAGGGGAGGGGAAGAAGGGGAGGAGGAGATTTAGCTACAATCCATTCCTGGTTGTAGCTAAATCTCCCTTAACATTCCACTTTCAAGGCCTACAGACGTCTATGTGGAGTGTTCAGTTGGTTGGCCTGTCTGTCCAACACTTGAGTAGAGAGCAAGAAAACTCACCACGTACAAGCCAGATTGCAGTGAAATCTGGTAAGGATACGTTCCCAAGACCATGCCATTTAATGATTTTGACGACCCCCCTGACCTCGTATTTAGCACTACCTAAATCCATGACAAGATATCTCAAACGAATGGTTGGATTTCCATCAAATTTTGTCTGGATAATCCCCAGAGGACAAATCCTAAGGTTTTTGATGACTATCTAGCCCTTTCTCTGGCTTGAGGTCAAAC